TGTCAAGATATAGTCTTGAGATCAATTTGAATTTTTTGTTCAATTGATTACATGCTAGATTCTGACTAAACGCCTGTATCATTTATTGACAATGTATCTTGTGAAAATGATTAATGAATTATGATGAGCGATATCGTCAAAGCGGCTTTGATGTTGTCTTTTTTTACTTTTTTAATGTTTGAACTAAGTACTGATGAATGTAGTGGTAATACCTGGTCGAGAACTGGTAGATACCTGGTATACCTGGTATACCTTTCTCATCGCCTAGTGCTATTTCAAAAAAGGAACATAGAAGAAAACCCAATATTTCGATCATTTAATATTATGTACTTTAATGGCAAAGTGATTTTAGGTGATATAATCTTGCTTTATTTTTTAAAATATATTCAAGAGCTTTGACGAAATTTTGTAGACATTTCGATATCTGGTGTGAGCATATCATATACTGGATTCTCGCGATTAATTCAGTGGGGGAAAAATGACGGCACCTTATTTCCCTCTTTTAAGATACCACCAAACCCTAACTGGGTGGCAGCGTAGTTTTCATTAACCAGTTAACCAACGTGTACACCGATAAACGTAGAAAAGCAAGAGTATTAAAATGTAGTACGATTAAGAGTATATAACGGTTTCATGAAAAACACCCGATATCTACAGGTGTATTGGTTGAAATACACTTTCGCCACAATAACACCTTTGTTAGTGACTGGACAACCATGAAGCTCTCTCCATACCGTATATGGAAATCAAAACAATAGTCCTGACTTTTCACCAACGTCACTGTAGGTGACTTGATTCACACTGTCATCTTAGGATGCAGTGATTATTTCCTGTGTGACTCTGTACCAATAAGTCGATTAGCAATGAATCATTTAATTCTATCAACGCTTGTTTTCATATTCATTCTGGATCTTGGTTTTGGACAAGGTAAATATATATTAGGAGGAAAAAGCTTATTCATGCTCAGTGCAAAACTTGGAAACTCGCGAGAAAAAAGGAAAAACCTTCTTCATCTGAGACACAGGTCTTGGTAAAAAATATAGCACGTGGTACGTGATATGCAAAACACAGCCCGCGCGTGAGCCAATCAGATTGCACTAAATTGAACAGTCATATAATAAATGATGATATTGCCTATGCTCTGTCTAAGCCACGTAAATTGTACCACATATGTGTTCAAAAGTAGTCTTTCGGAATTCAGTAGACGTCTAAATTGCGTATCGTGTTCGCGTCGTGATCCTTGCATTGGCACAGTCATACGAAATCCTCTCTATTATTACTGCTCTTTTTTAAATGTTCCCTTAGATGTACTAGTTATATCTTATTTTTATAGAGATCCATCTACGCCAAGATGAATGTTTGGTTTTATTTGATGTACTGAAGCGATTCCTATCCCTCATCTCCTAATGATCCGAGATGCAGCGCTGAAGCAAAGAAGAGAGACGACGTGAATCATGTTGGAGCACACCTGAAATTGCGCCTTACTTTGGCTCACCGACCTTTGAACACCTCTCACAGAAAAGGGAAATAAAGGTAGATAAAGATTCATTTGTCTCAAGGCCACAAAAGAAGGAGAAAGAAATAAAACTTAATAAAGGTTAAAAACGAAACTGTTCAAAACGCTGTAAAGTGTGTTTTTAAAAGCTAAC